TGGGATTTGGGATTTGGGATTTGGGATTTGGGATTTGGGATTTGGGATTTGGGATTTGGGATTTGGGATTTGGGATGAATTTTATTATATTTGGGATAGGATTTGGGCTTTGGGATTTGGGATTTGGGACGATTTTATTATATTTGGGATTTGAGATTTTAAGATTTTTAGTTTTGCCAACATGTATATGCATAGCCCATGAGTAGGGATGCGATTATACCGGTATAATAGAAAGTGGTAGTATAATACCAGTATAATACTGTATAATACGGTATAGCATGGTATAACCCACGTATACTTATTTCTGCAAGTGATACAAATCCAAAAAAGGAAATTTGTATATAGATCGCATGATCAGGTGCAATATTTGTGTAATGTGAAATCGAAGGCTTTTCAAAACATCGCTGGTAATTCAAAAATTTTGCCTAAGAAATCACCTTTTACGCCAAATTTTACTATATCGGTCAGGGGATATGTCACACAAACTGTACTACCATATAATTTTCGAATGTTTGTTGTATTATAATAATAATAAATGACTTAGATTACTTTCTTGCAAATTGATTTACTGTTATAATTACTATTATTGCTTACAATATCCTGTATCACAACAATTTTTTATTTGCATAAAACTAATATCGAAGTTTTTATTTTTTGCTATCAAATTCAAGTTTTTTTTTCGTGCAGATAAAATAAAAGTAATTTTCAAGATTCTTTATAATTTGTAACTTTTTTACATGATTAAATTCCTCTATCACTTTGACAATTTTAGTGTAAGAATTTTATTAATTTTTTTTTTTTTTAGCAAATTGCAAAAAGTATATACAATTTAATTTTGCTAGATTTACCTATTTTCAAATATTTATTATTTATTAGGCAAGACCAACTTGATTTGGCGTTTTACATTTCATCTCTCTTTCTCCAGAAAGGGGGAGGGGGAAAAAGTAAGAACTTTTCATAGTAAAATTAAAAAAAAGTTGTTTTAAACTTTTTTTAGAATAGTCCGTAGATATTTACAAATTTCTGAAACCCTATATATATTTACCCAAATTTTTTTTACTAAAGGGGAAAGTGGGAGAGAGAGGTAGTAATGTAAACTACCAAATAAAATTGGTTTGACCTTATTATCACCTATCTTTGCAGATTTTGATCATATTCATATTGGTCACTTTTGTCACTTTTGTATCTTTTAATTTCAATCTCATCAACACAATAACTATCTTGAAGCATTACAATGACATAATCTATCTTTGCAGCTTTTATATACTATTAGACTACTATTTTGGCCCAAATATTTTAATAAACATTAATTGTTCTACTATATAGCGGATCTTTAGTAATATTCGAATAGATGTTATTCATACTGATTTCATATATATAATAATGACTAAATAATAAAAAATGAAAAAACAAAACTATTGAGTATATTGAAAAATGTAAAAAATATGCCAAAAAATAAATTACAATATTGATTAAATTGAAATCATATAATACTTCAAAAATTATTACATCTAGCATTCATCTTGATATTGAGTACTTGGATCAGAGTTTTTATCAGTACAAGAATCTTCATTTATAATTTTTTGATTTTTGCCTTTTCTATCATTTGTAGTTTCATTATTCTTTCTTTTTTTTTAGATTGCTTTTCTTGTAATTCCCGCTGTTTTTGTTGAGCTATAGTATCTACTACGATATTACGAGCGTGTCTACCTCTTGTATCACATTTAATTGATGATTCTCCAGTCAACTGAAGAATGATCATAGTGAAACGTGACGCGGTTCTATATATAAATTACTAT